TTAGCACGCGAGTACTGCAGTGCTTTAACGGAGTATCCTCTTCTGTGCTGAATAAGTACGCGTGCCTTTATTATTCCTGGACCAGGTCTACTTCGACCTTTTTCCCGCGCTGTCTCGTTTCAAACGCTGACTCATCTGGCTTTGGTCTTCTGAGGACCTTTACCTTCTTGACGTGGCAGTTCTGGAGGGGGTATATCTTTATTCCCTCCTGCTCGATCCGTGCTCCAATGGACTCTGCCATGAGCTTCTTCATTGCGTCGTGGATTGATCCTGCTCCGAGTTCTTCTCTGACTATTTTGAAGACTATCTGTCGAATTGCCTTTACCTGGGAGAGTTTTGCGTAGCAGTTCTTCTTCGTGGACTTTGCCTTTCTCTTCGTGTTTGCGATTGTGAAGACTCTGAGGGTGTATCCGTCTGTTGTGTCTACTTTCACGCATGCCTCCATGAGAGTGTGCCACTTCTTTGGGATGCTCTTGATCTTATCGCTGGTGAGTTCCATACTGTGGAAGCTGCTGATTGCGTCTTTTCCTTGGACTCCGTCAACTACGAACTTGAACTTCCTGAAAGATTGTGCTGCTGATCCTGGGGCGAGATCTCCCTGGTTTACCTCGAAAGTTCTGCCTTTTATTGCATCTGGGGCGAAGTAGTTTCCCTGGCTTCTGTCTATTATGGTGACGCCTGCGTGCTTTATTCCGAATGTTGAGGGGAGTGCTAGGTTGTAGAACTCCTTCTTGCTCATTACGTCGGTTGCCTTCTTAGCGCGTATTTTCTTGCCTTTTGATCCGCTCATTACGCTGGACACTTTTGCCTTTCCCTTTGCAGCCATTACAAGGGCAAAAGAAAAAGACGAAATAAAACACGAAAAGAAAAAAGAAAAAAGAAAAAGCAGAAAGCCAGCACAAGAATGCCAAGATGATACCAAGATGATAGCATACTTATAACTTAGCAGTAGTCTAATAGCAATAGCAGTATAGTCAGTAATAGCAAGCCAGAAATAGTTAGTAATAGTCTAATAGTAAGTTAATAGATAGTTAGTAATAGTAAGCTAGAAATAGTTAGTAATCGTATAGTAATAGCAGCAAGTTAGTTAATAGCTAGTAAGTTAATAGTATAGCAATAATGCAATAGTAAGTTAGAAATAGATAGTAAGTTAATAGTATAGCAATAATCTAATAGTAAGTTAGTTAATAGTATAGTATAATACTACGTTAATAGATAGTAAGCTAGTAATGAGCATTTAATAGCAGCATAGTCAATAGTGTACCAGTAAGACCGTAGTTAGTAATGGAAGTACTCATGACCGTATTGTATATACAATTATATCCTGTTTTCTTTGGGTGGGCGCTTGTTTTTTAATTTCTTTGTCCTCTGCACTTTTAATTAGCACATTCTCACGGTGCTGGGGGAGTACTCAGGAGAGCCTTTTTTACTTAGCAAAATCCCACGGGAAAAAGGAAATTTTTGAGAGAAACAAAACAGAAAATCACCAGAAACATCTGCTATTTACACCCGGACAATATTCCCGTGTAGCTAGAATTACTAATTGCACAGTATTCACTTATTTAACTCTCTTACTATTACCATGCCAATAAGCATACATTACTGCAGTTAGCTATACTACTAAATATACTAGTCACATGTATTACTGCCACCAATAACCAACTATCTTACCATTGCTACACATTACTCACATACAATTGCTATACTATAATAACTACACATTACTATACTAACTATTCACTACTATACTAACAATCACTACTACACATTACTATACTAACTACCCATTACTAACTAATCACTGCTATCTTACCATTACTATACTAACTAATTACTACTATACTAACTATCCACTGCTATCTTGCCATACCAAATAACTATTCATTACTACCCATTACTCTACTATACTATACTAACTATTCATTACTATCTTACAACTCTAACTACTAAACATACTACCGCATGCTACTATTACTAATCCACGTATTGTGAGACACTGCCTCGTGCTTTCCTGGGCTTTCCTGTGAAACTGTCCTGAAACTTCCCGTATAAAATGTGCTTTCCTTTTTTTTCCATGCAAGAAACCATTTTTCTTTTCGACGTGGACGGAACACTCACGCCCTCCCGAGAGAAAGTCTCCAGGGAAATGCGGGAGTTTCTGCAGGAGGTACGCTCTCGTGTGAAGATAGGCTTCGTGGGAGGGTCTGATTTGGAGAAGCAAAAGGAGCAATTGGGCGATGATTGCACGGAACTTTTCGACTTCTGCTTCCCTGAGAACGGGCTTACCTTCATAAAAAATGGCAAAAAAATCAGTTCAGAATCGTACCTGAATTTTATCGGAGAGAAAACTCACGGGCGCCTGGTGAGGGAAGTTATGCGGGAGTTTAGCGCTCTCCCAGAAGAAGAAGTTCCGAAGATGCGGGGGAATTTCCTGGAGCTGAGGACTTCTATGGTGAACATCTCCCCTGTGGGAAGGACCTGCTCTCGCGAGGAGAGACGGGAGTTTAAGGCGCTGGACGAGAAGAACAAAACACGCGAGGGAATTGCAGGGAGGCTTCGGGAGAAGTTCCCAGGGCTCACGTTCTCGATTGGAGGAGAGATTTCGATCGACATCTTCCCTGTGGGATGGGATAAAACGTATTCAATTAGGCACTTGCACGAGGAGGGGATAAAACGCATTTACTTCTTCGGGGATATGACATCCCCCGGGGGAAATGACTTCGAGATATTCTCTGATGAGAGAGTGAATGGATGCACGGTGACTTCCCCTGAGGATACGATCCAGAAGGTGAAGGAGCTTCTTAAGACGTTGGAATAAAGGGAAGTTTTGGCAGGAGTTATTATACAGTGTGCTATAGGTCTATAACTTAGTGGGCGCGGCAGAATATGCCGTAGGAATTTCTGCGCACTGCAGCAGAAGTGCGACTTTTTATACACTCCCCAGCAAATATCAGCGCATATGATGGACTGCATACTAAATACCTATTGCACGCGGCCCAAAAAATACCAGAATTAAGATGGACTGCATACTAAATGTCATCGCATATGATAGACTGCCCAATAAATAATACACTTTTTTTTATTTTATGGGCCTTTTCCTTGTGCTTGTTTCGTGCTACGCCTCAGCCCACGCCTTCGCTGAGAGCATTTCCACAGACACGCCCGTTTTGCTCGTGGATTTGGAGTGCGAGTTCGCCCCCCGAAACAGTCCAAATATTTCAGTTGTTCACACCGATACAATCCCTGCGGAGTGTCTGGAGAGGGTTCTTGTTGTAAACAGGCTTCACTCGTATGCAGAGACTCCCGTTGATCTCCAGAAAAGGCTCAACTTCCTGCAGGGCCTTGTCTATAGGGGCAAGACCGTATACGCCCTAAGCGAGTACAGATACCGGGGAATGCAGAAGGACATTATGTTTGCGGAGTACGTGGAGAGAATGGTGGAAGCAGAAAATATTGTGCTATTTAGTGGGTAGTGTGCAGTAGTTAGCAGAATTTACTAGATGGAGTGCAGAAAGTGGCACTTAGTGGGCGGCATGGAATAAGCGGTGGGAGATGCTGGGCAGCGGGAATAAGTGGCAGATGGCGGCTGCATGGGAATTATAGTGCACTGTGCAATAAGTATTGAAAGTTACTGGGGACTCTGCATATATTGAGACTTATAGTGCGGTGCGCAGAAAGCAGTAGAGCAGCCTGTGCTCTTACTTGCTGCACACTATGTAATAAATGGCACTTAGTGCGCGCGGCACCATAAACATTGCAATGCCCAGGTATTTATGCCGCACTGCACATTAAGCAGCACTTTTTGCACACTGCCCACTAAATAAAATAAAAACCTGCTTCCTCCCACACCCAATAAATGCCGCCATTTCCTGCACTCCGCCCAATAAATACCCAAATTAAGCATAGACCACTTTCTGCACACCCCACAACAACTCCCCCCACTTAATGCAAACCACGCAATAACTCCACTTACGCCACACAGCTCAATAAGTGCAGCGCTCCCCTATTTATTCTTTATTTAATTTTATTTTATGCCAACTGAAGCTACTCTCACAAGAACCACGCACGTCCTGCGACTCAGGGGAGGCCTCCCAAGAAGGCGAGTTTCCTTCACGCAGGATACAATAGATAACGAGCACATGAACAGGAAGAAGTCCAAAGCCTGCTGCATTCATCACAGCAGAAGCGAGTGTAAATATGCGCAAAATGAGTAAAAAATTTTATGCAACTCTCAGTCGGAGACGTCTTTAAATCAAAGAACGAAGCGCAGAATGCCATAAGAATGTATGCAATAGACAACAGCTTCAACTTTGAGACGACAGATAGTACCCCGAAAAAGTACACAATTCAGTGCAAGGAAAGAAGAACCCACGGATGCGAAGCCGTCATAACTGCAGCTCTCCGGAAGAAAGATAACATGTTCGTGATAAAGAAGCTGAAAAACATCCACAATTGCCCCCAGCAGTCCACAGTAAACCTGCAATCTTCAAGCAGATACATCGCAGACGAGATCCGAGAGATGCAGGACATACAGGAGACAAGAATAGGCCAGATCATCAACAGAATATCGACGAGAAGAGGCATAAAAATAGGATACTACGCCGCCTGGAAGGCTAAAAAGAACGTTCTCAACGACGAAATAGACGAAGAACTCGCCCAGGAGGAGTGCCTTCTCTCCGTCGTAGATGAAAATAAACACATAAACCCAGACGACACAGCTGTGCTTATGAACATGAAGAGCGAAATAAAAAAGTGGAGAAATAAGAAGCCCGTAGAAGAGACAGGATGCATCAGGAAAGTGATTCGAGCAGTTGGACCCCTCGACACAGCAGGAGACAGACTCGATACACTTTTCTACGTTAATAACCTCTCCACGCACGTATATAAGTACAGCCGGCAGGTAGTGGAGTTGGTCGCATACGAGAGATATAATGAGCTCAGAGAACACGCAGGATACGCATATTTAGCCACAGGATACGATGCTTTCGATACTCCCTACGTTATAAGCATGTGCTACGTCCCAGAGTACTGCCCAAAGAAGGAGGGATGGATCGTATTCGTCAGAGAAGTCCTGAAGTTCATCGAGGCAGGAGTCCTCCTCATAAACTGGGAGGGATGCCACGCAACAATCCAGGAGATTGAAGGACTCATCAGAGAGAAGAACGGAGAACAGATAAAAGTCTCACCCTTCGATGAAATTGCATGGAGTGGACACTTTGACATCGAAGAGGCAATCAGGAGAGGAGCAGTAGAAGCCCCGGGAGAAGGACAGAAGGCAGGCGTTCGACTCTTCCTGAGGAGCAGATCTCTTTGCAGGGAAGTCTTTGCAACACATCCTTCCCCGAGTGCGATAGGTCTCGTTTGGTCGCTTTGTAATAGCCCAGACCTCGCAACTTTTCAGGTTTACTATAAGAAGGTGAAGGCCCTGAACGTACCCTCCCTTCTTTCCCTCCTCTCCTCACTCCCAACCCACCTTTGGGCGAAGTACCTCTGCATCTTCCCAACGTATAATAAGAATAACGCAATTCCCCAGGAGATAGACGGAGTTTTCAGTATGCTCACACTCTCCCCGATAGATGCACTCTGCATGGTTATTAAGATCATCACAGATAACGCCCTCAGGAAGAAGGAGGTCGTGGCACACGCAGAACTCAGCCTGAAGAAGCTCACGGATAGAGCTAGGTTTGGAGATAACGTAAACAGAGCAATCGACATAAATATGGCGAAGGCCCAGGAGTACGAAGTAGACGTCGGAAGATCCCCAGGAGAACTCTGCAGAAGCTCGTGGATAGACCCAAGGAAGCTCAGCGATGAGGAGGAGTACAGGCAGGGAATTGTCAACGCAGGAAACCTGAAATTCTACGTGGATCTGCGCCTGAGAGTCTGCTCCTGCATGAAGTTCCAGGAGATGAACTATCCGTGCTCACACGCTTGCGCCCTTATCACGAAGGGAGGAGGATGTGCGAATGCGTACGTAGATGAAATTTACTCCGTGGATGCGCTTATGCTCATGTATAAGCCGTATACGACGAGATGCATCGTATCAGAGCCTATTCGCGGGACGGAGGAGAGGCGGAGGAGTTCGCCCCCTGCACGGTGCACTGCGAGGAAGGGCCTGGGAGAGGCAGAGGACTTCGCAGAGGGAGATCACAAGGAGAATATGGTGAGATAGGGAACCTGAAAATATCAGGTGCACAGGAAGGGATAAATCTAGGAAATAAAGACGGAAGTTTCACAGTCTTGCAGAGAGTTCTGGCGCAGAGAGTTTGGCGTAGATGCAGGAAAGAGGAGTATCTTGCAGTTGGCGTGGGATGGTTTTGTGTGCTGAAGGCGTAGATAGTCGTTGATAGTCGTTGTTTGTGCGATGAATTGGAACTCCTACAAGGTCAGAGAAGGCGAGATCACGATAAAATGTTTTTGAGATGGAGGCGAAGAAGTTGAGATCATAGCGATCGCTCAATGCATATATACGCGAGAAAGTATAATTTCAGATGCAAAAATATAAGAAGAATATAAAATTAAGTCAATATAAACGAAAGCCATAATTCTGCAAAGGATAATAAATCTGTCGTAAATCCGTGTGTGTGTTGACTACTGCTTAAGAAAAGCCCGAATAAATAGTTAGCCTTTGGAGAATATTGAATGTTGTGATGTTCGGTGCTTATATCCTTCGCATTGCTTCTGTTTTTATCTCTTTAATGCCCACTAGTCAACTTCGTCTTTACATCGTATTGATTGCTTTCACGCCATGATCTAATTTTGTGGGAATTCCAATAATAGCCCGAATAACCCGAACTACTTGTCTTAGACAATAGTGCGAACATGGCCTGGATTTACGACAATATGCATATAAGCACTCCAATAAACAATAAAGACAGTGAATTTCACTAGCACATTACAACTGGAAGGGATGGGAAATTGGCAGAAGTACTGAGAGTATCTGGGAAAATTTCAAGGGAGTGCGACTAAATTCTCTTGTAGATCTGATCTTCTGGTTTTCTCTTTTATTTTCAGTTATTTTTTTCAGGTTCACTTATGGCAGTTAGTCAAGCCGGATTCTTGGGAGGAGAGCGCGTATTTGGACGTCCGTGTCTGCGTCCTGGCCGAGTGCCTGCTTTAGGAGGACTACGACTTCGCTTGTCAGACTCACGGGCATCTCCGAGAAGGTGCAAGCCCTTTTTTCGCGGCGTATCGCAGGAATCCCTGAAAAATTCACGAGATACGCCAGGAAAGCAGAAAAAACAGTTTTTTCAGGGGAGAACCTGAAAAGAAGAAGGGCCGTCTGTAGCCCGAATTCGTGCACTGCCACCCCCGGGGAGACAACTGCCGCATTCGCAAGGGCGTATAGCATGCTCTCGCACAGGGGAGAAGCCTCCACCGGAGAAATCCCCCGGGAAAGTGCACGCTCTGGAAGAGTTTTCGCGTATTCAAGCACCCAGCGGATGAGCTCAGGCGGACTCTCAAAGTCCCAGCGAGTGCAAAGAAGATTCTTCAGGATAGAGAGAAAAAGGCCTTTTTCCTGCACTCCCCCAGAAAAGCCCTCGAGAGAGTCCAAGTCCACGGCAGAGACGAAGTGCAGACTCACCCCAGGAGAAGCCTCAAAAACAAGAGAGCGAAGAAACTTCAGCACTGAGACCCTGCACGCCTCCAGGGAGAGATACTTCAGACTCTCTCCAAGGAGAGTTTTTACTGCTGTCTCCTTCCAGTGGGGACAGTGCATCACGAGATTCCCGAGGAGGAGAAAGTACTCGCTTGCAAAAGTCCGAGTTTCCCCGTAGGAAAAGGCTTCCTCCCGCGCGTGGAGAGTCTTTGCGACTTTTTCCAGGAAGTTCGTGATTTTGTACGTTGACAGACGAGATGCTGCCACCTCCGGAAGGCGTGCGAGAACCTTCAAAATTTCAGCGAAGGAAACCGTCTCTGCAGTGAAGACTTCACTCTCCAGGGCCTTTTCCATTCGGGAAAAAGCCTTTTCCACGTAGTCCGTCTCAGCTACAGCCCTCTTAAATCGGTCGGATGCAGGGAGGACTCTTCCCAGGAAGTAGTTTATGCGGAGGTAGTTTCCCCCGGGGGAAGTTTCAGCTGCGGAAATCTCTTCTGAGGCAATCCTGGAGAAAGTCCCGCTTTCTTCGAGGTACTCCCGCACTTCTGGGCTGTTCTCTGCTAGAAATCCCAGGGCAGGCAGGACGAGGGGCGATCTCTCGCACGCTAGAATTCGGGAGAGGGCTTTTCCCAGGTCAGAGAGCAGGAAATTGCTCGCTGTTTTCACCATTGCAGGGCCTAGATCCTTCAGCGGGGAAGAGTCTGTGCTTTTTCGGTACCATGCAACGTACCCTAGGAGCACGCATAAGTTCGTTCTGATGGGACCTGATGGAACTTCTTCCTGTGCGTGCCTGAGGAGATCAACGTCTATATACCTGCACAGTCCGGAGTTTACGAGTCGAATGAGAAGGAAAGTCGCTTTATACGGGGAGAGATGGTGCACTGCCTGGAGTCCCTCCACGAACTCCTGCGTCTGGAAGGCGCTGAGTGCCCCTGGGATCTTCAGGCAGAGGAGAATGCACGCTTGGAGGAGCTCGTTCACCCAAAGCGAGGAAAGTTCATCGTTCAGCTCCTGGATGAGTAGATGGGCGAATTCCGGGTCTATAGAAGAAGTGCACGTACTGTACGCCTTCAAAGCAACCATCCGCTGGGAGATCGGAACTGATCTTTTAAAAGCCACTGCAAAAAGTGCGCTCTGGAGGCGTCTGGAGGAGCAGGAAAAAAGGTCTTCGGAGGAAACATCTATGCTGCTCCACGTTTTGAGCGCCTCAGAAAGTGGCTTCAAAAGCGAAAGTGCGACTTTTCCATTCATTCCTGCATGCGCGAGTATTCTCATGCAAGTAAACAAACAAAAGAATAAAGTATCCAAAATATTTTCTGAAAGTACGCTTTTATCCGTGCTTCTCTGAGAACGCCCATTTATTTCCTTCCTGCAGGGTTTGTGTGCGCTGTCAGCTCTAAATACTCCCCGGTCTTCTTCCACTCTTCTATGACCTTTCTCCCGTACTGGTACCCGTGCGCGACTATTTCGTCAAATTGCCGGAAGTTCATCGTTTTGTACCCGGCCAGATCCGGCCTAATGTACTTTATCGAGAGGTCGGACTTAAGGGATCTCTCCTTGTGCATGCTCGTCAAATATGCAAGTCTGTACTGGATCTCAGTCATCGACATAAACTTCTTCGTCCCAAAGACCTTCTGGAACAAAATGTAGAAGCCATTTAGGCTGTCCCCGTACGCAGAGAACGTATTTTCGACTTCACTCCCCACATCAACGGCAATGATCTTACGGATCCCCATGGAGCGCATTGCATCTGCAGGGACGTTGTTCATATACCCCCCGTCAAGCAAAAACGAGCCTTTATCGCACAACGGGGGAAGATACCCGGAAAGACTCATGCTAGCACGAACGTATCTCCACAGGACGCCGTCCGTGTGCTTTACTTCCCTGAACTGCGATATATCCGTGGTTATGCAGTAGTATGGAAGCCACAAGTCCTCGATCCTTTTTCCCTTGAAAATGATCCGCAGTCCCCAGTTGAAGCCCTTCCCCGTGAACATCGAGCATATCGGGTACGTCAGATCCAAAATCACGCGCCAGACACTGCTTATAAGCTTAGAAAGACGCTTTGCCCGGCTGAAAACGTACTTATTACTTGTCGTTTCTGCATAAAGAGCCCCAACAAAAGCCCCCATGGACGTTCCCCCGACAGCATCGATGGGAATCCCTGCCTCCTCCAGTGCCTCAATGATTCCAATATGAGCAATTCCCCTGGCTCCTCCTCCCCCCAAAACGAGTCCTACATTCGTGCCCTTAAGCGTGCGTATGAATCTGTGCATGTCATTCAGCGGGAAGTACGGGATCCAGCTGCTGTCATTCCCCGTGAATTTGCAGTGCTTGCTTCTGGCGTACGTATTTGACTCCCTCGACTTTATAACGGACAAAGGCACATCTATAATCGGAAAAACAACATTATGTTTTTGTCCGTAGTATTTTCCGCTGGAGACTTTCATGTCGCTGTTTCTGTGCAGGACGAGCGTGTCGATTTTGCAAAATACATTTTTCCCAATTTCGAGAGAGCGATGATCCCCGTTTGTTACAACGTAAAACACGATCTCCGACAGAAATATCGGGTCTATTCGCCTTCTCTCCGAGCTCGGGGAGAAGTTGTGCAGGCACCTCCCAAAACTGCTTGATCTTTGGCACAGGGCATTCCTGCACTTGTGAACTTCCTTCTCGTTGCAGCTTTGGGCTAAGTCTTTCCCTCCTTCTGGGAGACTCTCTTCTGACTCCGTTTTTTCTGGGTCCAGGCACTTTCCCTCTGCGGAAGGACTTTCTCCTGCTTCTTCGCTCTCTGGCTTTGTCTGGGGCTCCTCCTGGGACGCGGGGGGACTTCCTGCAGGATTTCGCCCAAGTATCGGAATCAGGACGTACGCGTGCTCCCTCTGTATCTCTCTCAGGTAGTTCAAAAGCAGGATTTCGCATATCCTTGACTCGTGCGGGGCCTTGAAAGTGAACGTTTTTTCTATCTCCGCGGAGGAAAGGATGTAGCAGGAGTCGGTTTTCTGCA